CATTTTAATAATTTGCTCGTATTCGCTTATTTTAGGAATTGCGATGACTTCGTCTCACTTTTATTTAACCGTGCTCTTCACCGGCACCGATAGACGGCCGGTTTCCCTCTTTTGGAGCTCGTCAGTATCGTGTAGCCGTTTACCTATGTTTAAGACCGTTTGGTATGAAGCACGCTCTAAATTCTACTTCGCCGCTTCTTATATCAAACACAAACAGTTACAGCGGTGAGAAGAAAGAATCGCATTAAAATGTCATAAATGTGACGTCTCCATGTTGACATCTTAAAGAGTTAATAATATGATTTCAGTAAGAAGTAAGAAAAGAGAATACTGAATATATAATACTAAAGTCTTATTTATGATACCTACCCTTAGTAGCTTCTAATTTTGATTTCAATAAGTGGTCAGAAAAAAAGATACTTTAAGATGTTAAAAAATTTACTTCTTATTTATGAATTCATCAAGATCTCTTAATCTTGAGCTCCTAAAAATGATTTCTCTAAGATGTCATATTGTGACCTCAGTAAGATGTTTTTCAACAGACTTCGTACAGAAATCTTTCTGAATTGGATGCTGTCTGGGGGGTCTAAGTTACAAAAATAAAATTGTTAGTTATCAATGAAAAACAAATATTTTGCACATGTAAATGTCTGAAACACGTTTGGAATTGCATATTCCGCTCTCCTGAAACCGTCAAACTCGCCTTCGGCTCGTGTGAGAAACTCTTCACTCGAGCGGATATGCTGTATTCAAAACTTGTTACAGAATATACTATTAAGTCATTCTGCGTGACATAAACTATTTTTAAATGATAATATATTATTTAACCAACTTGGCACTTAGACCATTTGGAAATACAATGCAATTACGTCCTTGGGACGTACCCAGTATATCCGCTTTAATTTTCCCAAATAAGTAAGAGACTGGACGTACCCAAAACTTCCGATATAGGTCTAGGACGTTCGGACCTATGTGGGACCCGAAATGGACGTCCTGGGTACCTCTTGTGCTATCTTGGTACATATCTGTCATATCATACGTATAGTATATTTAACCATATAGAGGGTTATAAGGTACTTGTTACCCTACGCATATGATTATTATAACTAAATAAATTATTGTTTTGTGCAACAACAAAAAAATAGTTAAAGTGACAATAAAACTGTTACAATATAAACATAGTTCGTCGCCTTAATGCAGAACTAGTGTATGTCCAAATCTTCCAGTTTTCGGTTTATAGCGGGAATATATAGTTAATAGTGAACTTCATTACATGCAGAAGTATTGTAAGTCCAAACGATGGGCTTCCCCCACTTTTTTATTTCTCTAGAATATGTTGTATACAAGCTATTAACTATTAACTATATATTCCCGCTATAAACCGAAAACTGGAAGATTTGGACATACACTAGTTCTGCATTAAGGCGACGAGTTAACATAACAGTATATAATATATTATGACTGTGCCTATACTAACCAGAATATTCGATTAAAATAACCATTGTTTTCTCTCAGTGTATACTCAAATGGAGAAAAAACCGACTGAAAATTGTGGAATTTTTTGTACGCAGAGTGATTTGGGGAATCGTGTTTTTTATCTAAACTAAACACAACAATAATTATTAAAGTCATAAGGCTGAGAAGTGAGTCTTTTTGTGCTGAGCTCAAAGTTTGTTTCCGACGCAATTGAGCAAAGCAGAAACATTTTATCTTTAAGGCATAGTTTTATTTGTTAAATAATACATGTATGTATACAATTATAATAACAAGTATTAAAAGTATAAAGTGAGCAGTTAACGAATTTTTGATTGGTCCTAACGGGTATTTTACACTACTAGGATGTAAAAAAAACTTCACCTATATTAATTTAACAGCCTAGGAGATAATCGACTACTTTGGTAGTGACTCTCTACTAGTGATCGTTGACAATATTAGGGCTTAAATTATATAACGCTTGAAGAGAAACTTATTTAAATAAAAAAAAATAGAACCATCAATTTTTGGTGATCCGTTATAATCTAGTGTAAAATTAATTAGTGAAGCGTTTTATTAAAACAAATTGTAAATTACATATAATATATATAACACCGTCTCAAATCGAAACGACGATTTTAATTTTGAATACTTTTTAGTTTTATTTTTTTCTGTAATTTCATATCCAAATTATCCCATATTAGTATATTTAATTAATTGGTCCTAAAAATAAGCTTGTTCCTTATTTATTTGTGTTTGTTCTTTTTATGCCTAGGGATTTTGGGAACACTTTATGGGGGTAGGTAATTAAAAACTTAACAATATTAGAATAACAAAATATTTATTAAAAAACAATCCACGCTGGAATTTTTATTATAATTAACGAAAAACTCCTTGAAACCTTGTGGAATTAACAATAAACAATCTTAAATATAAACACCATTTTTAACTTATTTTGTTGTCAGTGATACAATCAGCCAGTAAGTCAGCGGTAGAGAGATATTAACTGGGATTAAGTTTTTTTTTTAATTTTAAAGAATAAATAATTAAAACTTTATTACCTTTAATAATAATAACTTTTTTTAAAGATTTTAAAAGTTTACAAAGTATGTAGTTAAAAGAATATTATTTAAACAATAAATATGTAAAAACTTAAAATAGTACAATAAAGTACAATAAATATATAATGTTATTAGATTTAAAATTATCATACTAATCTTTAAATTAGTCTAACTACAACTTGTGTAAAAGCATAAAATTAAATTAAATTTGGTTCGTTGCACCTAAACCTTTTGGATTAAATCATTTAATTTAAATGTCATAATTTGTATAAATAATTGATTTGTAAATAATATTTGCTTACTAACTCATTTACGTTTAATTTTTATGGATGACTTATGTACAATAACAATTAGTGTCTAGCAAAATTTCAAATATTAGATATCCTATTTTTTATGTACTATACAGGATATCAGTAAATAAATCAAACGTAAAAGGTTTTTTTAAAGAAAATATGTACATTCGTGGGATTTAATTCTTTTTGAGGTTATAAATCCTAGTAGGTACTTCTTAATATTTATATGTGACGCGATCCCAAAAAAACCAAATTTTACAGCTTGACTTTAAAAATTAATAGAGATGTCAATTTTTTAAATAAACAAATTCTATCTGGAACTTTCAAAAGATCGTTAACGATCTTAAATAAAAGCCTTTCAAAACAAAATACCGTTTTAACTTACCTACATTTTTACCCAACTTCCTCGCTACTGAATTTTCGATACAAACGTCATCTTTTGTTTTTTAATGGCCGCCATAAGTAGTTTGATATATCGTTGGATTCCTTGATTTCTATATTAGCACCTAATATTCCAATATGGCAAACACAAAGGCTGATATCTTAAAATCTAGTAGGCGAAACAAAAATCACAAATGGTATAAAATGTAGATAAATGTTAATGTTTACATGTGAAACTAACTTTTTTTGAAATTATCAGAAATAACGAGGTTAGAACGATATTGGTTTTGACAGGTTTTCAGTTTTTTTAAATTATTTATTTTCCAATTTTTAAATGCCATTTTAATAAACTTGTAATTGTGCAACTTCAAATAAAAAAGATTCATATGGGTGATTCTACAAAAGTTGGACAACTTGATGTCATCAGTCAATAGAGTAAGTATTTTAATATTTTTTGTAAATATTTTAGTATATTACAAAAGATTAAGGTTTTTTTAACTTCTCCACCCAATTTTAATGTATTTTGTCAAAAGCACGTTTATAGAAAAACATAATAAATATTCAAAACATCAGTACCTTGGCGTGTCACAACTCCTGAATCAAATATTTGAGTGGTTTTATTTTAAAATATATTTAATTTATCTTAAATTTTTCAATTTCACTACAAACTATAAAATATTAAATAATGTCACTCACTTTTACCCGTCAGTTCTGTGTCCAATGATAAAATTCAAAATTCCTGCGAAATATTGAAGTTTAAACGCCAAGTCCTCGTTTTAACTCAAGTATTGGTAAAAAATTACCTACAGAGCTCGCCCTTTGCACGATAGTAATCTTGAAAACAATGCAAGCGGCGAATTTGTGGTGAATGCACGTATAGTTCCAGTAAAAATTTCAGTACTGTGGTGAGTAGTTATTTTCTTACGTATATATATTTCATTGTAATTTATATAAGGCTATATGTGATTTGTTGATAAGTAGCATCCACTAATAAAAAATATCAGTAAAATACTTAATTCCGAATTATAATCTCAAATTTGTATCCCATTCATCAGAACCATGTCGTCAGTTCCATGTTCGATGTTTCGGTTATCTTTTTTCGCAAACTTTAATTTAAATTCTGCTTGCGCAGAAATTGTTTATTTAATGTCATTATAAACTCATATAAATTTGGTGTGGGTCCCATATCTAATAATTGAGATATCGGTATACCCAAAATCGACCAGCTGCCACTGATGTGTGGTATTATTTGATTTTAAGTTATTTAAGTTGCAATAAATCTTATATTTTCCAATAAATTATGTATTTAATTAGTACCCTGGTATACTCGTCACTTCCCTTGCATTCAAATTTAGAAAACACAGATATTTCAGAAACTGTTTGAAAAAGTGACTGGCCCGGTCTGGAACAGTATATTTATTATATTATCTATGTTCTCCTAACAAAATAGTGTTTAATTTTTTCCGAAAACTATATAAACAAAATGAGGTTAAAAGTTGCCCAACTTTTATAGAATCACCCATATTTAGAATAATACTTGGTGCTCCCTGTATATTTAGTAAATAATTTACCTATGGTAAATATTATTAACCATAGGTAAATTATTTGAGAACCGCACATTTTTTCCAATTTTTAAAAGCCATTTGAATACATTTTAATGACGCAACTTTTATCTAATTTTACCGACCTTTAAATAAAAAGTCCTTAGTTGTGCATGGCCCATAAATGTTTGATATGAAGCAAAAATGTAATTAAAAAAAATCTTTTAAAATAAACTATCTAATGATAATATCTAGTGTTGATCTGACTCGTAAGAAGGATGACGGATGTGTCCTTCCCTTTTGACCACGGCCTGGAATCCCAAATGCGGATCTGAAGTGTACTGAACGATTCGCATGCTTCCATCGGCTTCCATCAGCATGTACTCGCCTTTAACGACGTGTCCATCCCGATGCTCCCAGTGAGATTTAATATCATTTGTTTGCGGATCATGCACTCCGTACTGGAATTTGTAATAAACTGGCTCCTAAAATGTTATTCAAATTTTAATTCGTTAAATATACCTTAAAATGCAAACAATCCTAAACACCAATTAATATTTATGAATATTAAGATAGATCAAACTATTTAAATTAATTTAAACACAAAAAATCTTAAAGGTTATTAGTTTTTGAAATAATAATATATCACAGACAAATTGGTATCTTCCTTTAGCTCAAATGTCATATTTAAATATAACATTGAAAGTATTTTAATTTAATCGAAAACCCATCATCACTAGCTAATTATAAAAATCCTCCCATAAACGATTTTTAAATGAAAATTTTAATTAACTTACATATTCGCGTTTTTCTTCTTTCGGATAAGCAAAGCAAACACTAAACGACAAAAATGCCAAACAAACCACCTAAAATAAATATTAAAAATTTAATATTCTATAAAAACAGATACATTGATAAAAACTAACTAGTTTCATTGCAAAGCAAGCAAATTGTTGTTGGAAAATGTTCTAGACTAATGAGAAACAGGGGAAAAGTGTCGCATCTTTTATACCGAAGAAATCGGTATTTTTATGTCATTTAAAAGAGAATAAACAATAATTATTGTAATGGTACACATTTAGTTTTAAACTAGTTAATGCTTTTTTTGTAAATACAACATTATCTATAAACAGGATGTTCCATCTTAAAATTTTAAGGGGTGATTCTACAGCGTAAAATATAAAAAAGGTTCCTACTCACATGGAGAAAAATTGTATATTATGTATCAAGTTTGATAAACGCTATTTTAGTCACAAAATTAATTTAGACATGAACGAGAATGCAAGCGAGTGCTTAATTAAATAATGCCTAGAAAAGTTTATAAACGAGTTGCATAATATACTTTTTCAAGAACACATACTTAATATTATCTAAAAAATATTTTAAATTAAATATTTGTATAAAGCGACATCTATACGAAAATAAAGTAACCATCCCAATAAACATTTTTGACGTAATTTTCACCATTAACATTCCCTGTTTTTATTAAATTTTATTATTATTTTAATCAAACTTAACAATTATTGATACTCTAAAATATTAAAAGAAATTCAAAAGAAATTAGTTATCCTTTGATTTTTTTTATTACTGTAATAGCAAAATATTATAAAAAAGTATTAAAAATTCTTACACAAAAAATTTTACAGATACCTACTAAAAGTGACAGTTGTATTTATTGGAATTCACGTTAGAATTTCTGACTTGGGAATCTACCGGCGTTAAAATCTGTGTAAATTAAAATTTATCCCTTGAAAATAGACTAACAATCAATATAGAAGCAGTTTAACACAGTAAAAGAGAAAAGCATGTTTTATGGACACTGTACGCAAAATTTTTAACGCTTTATAAGTTAAATCTGGTTAACTGCACTACTACGGGGAAATCAAAAGGTCATATAATCTTTTCAAATATTGATGTCAAGAAACTATTTAATATTTTTGTATTGAGATTTTTCATATTTAGTATTATTTTACAAGAAAGGGACTTTATTTTAACTATTGTATGACGTTTGACAATTGTCCACTAACTTAAAACTAACTTTAGCCTGTGACTAAAAACCTGTTGCAAACTTCAGCCTTGACTAAAAGCCACAACTTGTCAATGTGTATTTAAAAGGTTACTTAGTGTCATGAAAACATGTACGATAATGGGCGTTTTAAAGGAGGGAGTAGAAAAAATTCTTTATAAGGGAGCTAAGCCTCTTTAAAGCACGCAAAACCAACAAGTTTTAAAGCGATTTTTCTAAAAAATGGTTGGTTTTAGACCTTTTAAACAAGAGGACCTTTTGTGTAAAATTAAATTAAAACTATAAAATGAAACCAAAATATCCAATAAAAATATTTTTTATTGAAAATTAGAGCTAGGTATATCCCAACCTTCGCATTAAAAAAAATAAAATAAACTAACACATGTTTGCGTTAAAATGCCTCAAGAAAAAATATTTATATTCAAATCTAAATTCAAACTAAAATATTTTTATTGTGCAACATGAAAAATAATACCATTATATAATATCTATAGATATATATATATATATATAAGAAAGGTAAGAGATCAAGTCCATAGGACCCAGTCTACCACTCCACCTTATTACAGCTAATACCCAAAACTAAATAGGACTTATTGCTAAATGACAGTAACTAATGTGTAATTTAAAGCTTTTGATCTGAAAAACTTATCTCATGAGAGTGCACTTATTACATTTCTATAAGTGGGTTTAGTCAGAGAGAGGTAACTTAAAAATTTATTTAAATTTCTCAGTTAGGTAAATGTTGTGGTATTGTAAAACCTTTCAGGCGAACATTTAGGTTAATACGATACTGATATTTGTACAAGAAGGTTTAAAAAATTACACTGCAACATGTTTCTTAAAAATTGACAGTAAAGCAGTGTACATTTTTTTCAATGTGGAAGATGTTATTGGACACCAAGGTTAGAAACAATTGTTCCCGTCGCACACTGGGAGGAATTTCAAAAATCGCGGACAAAATCCTATTTTGTAAAAATCAACATAGTAAATTTTAAATTACGAGTTATAAAAAAAGAAAGCACAGAGATTATGATTTTAAAAGAAATATATTTTTTTATGATAAAATGCCCGCTTAAACTTGCTTAAAAAGTCACATTGTTCGTGTCGGTTTTTTAGAGCAAATTGTATGTAAGTTTTTTAAGCCCATTTTTGTTTTGCGTAATTAATGAAAGGAAATGAGGGTATATTTTACTACATTCCTTATCCTTGTTCTTTCATATAAAAGTCTAAAATTGCAAATTTTACCATAAATACGGTTTTTATAAACCTTTTACCAACGCCTTTAAAAGTAGATAAATCTTTTACAAACCACAAGATAATTCGTTAGGTGTGCCTTGGTGTGACGCAAAGTATTTGATACCAGAACGTTCATCAAATTTTCTTTTTTTAAAGTCAAAAGAATTAAGCTGCCTTTTTTTGCCTGTTTGGTCAGCAGAATATGAAATATGTCCATGAATTTATCATATTAGTCGAATATTTATAAGTCATCATAGTTGCCTTTTGCTAGTTCTAAAACGTCAGTTTCTAGTAAAAGTCAATCATACATAAAGGGTGTATCAATAAGAGCGCAAGATTTGAATTTCGCCTCAGTTTGGCCACCATGATGTCACATGATTAATGACATGACAGATTGATAGGAGACAGATGGGAGTTAGTAAATATGGAGCATTACACGATAGAACAATCCGTCCTGATTGTTAAACACTCTTATCAAAATGATGAAAGTTTGATTGCCACGATTCGTAAAGGGCGTCCAATATTTGTTCGAAATAATGTTTCTAATTCATCTACTGTGAAAAGAATAATCAAAAAATTCGAAAGCACTGCTTCGGTTAGTGATGTAAACACGACACGAGCTCCTAGAGGTCGTTCAGAACAAAATATCGCAGCAGTTCGCGAGAGTGTGGCCGAGTCCAGAGACGTCGATTCGCCATCGTGCACAAGAATTGGACATTACAAAAGCCACTCTTCAGCGAATTCTTACTATAGATTTACATCTTCATGCCTACAAAGTCCAATTGACTCAACAACTCCAACCAAAAAACCATGAACAGCGAAGAGAGTTCACCAATTGGATCCTTAAGCAGCAAGAAGTGAATGCCGATTTTGCGGACAAAATCATTTTCAGGGATGAGGCGCATTTTCACCACTATTTAACACCCTTGGACTTTTGGCTGTGGGGTTATTTGAAGTCACAAGTTTATGCCAACAAGCCCGCCACCATCGAAGCCTTAAAAGCAAAAATTAGACGCTCTATCAACTAAATACCGCCACATGTATTCAATAATGTTATTGCAAATTTTGCCAAAGAATACGCTTGTGCCAGTTAAGCCGTGGTGGTCATTTACCAGATGTGTTATTTTATACATAATTTCCAAATGTGTACTTTATAAATCAATAAATATTTCAATGCTTTAATACTTAAAACCATGTTTTATTAAACTTTGAAATCTTGCGCTCTTATTGATACACCCTTTACAATCTCATCGTGTTTTTGTGTTTATTAACGCTTTATAATAATATTTGGTAAGTTATAATATTAATATTAATATAAATATTACATGTTTATTTGAATAACTTGCTTCTTTTTATGTAGAAATGCCATCAACGACTAATAAGGAGTTGTATGAACTGCCATCAACGACTAATAAGGAGTTGTATGAACTGCCATCAACGACTAATAAGGAGTTGTATGAACTTATTAAAAATGTTAGTGACAAAGAAAAACACAACAAACTTTTAAAGTATCTAACCGAAAACCTGGATATTATTGATAAATCTTATATTGTCCCCTGAATCCGAAAATATCGTCAAAAGTTAAAAAAGTAAAACAGTTTTTGAGATAGGTATAGTAAATTTTTCATTTAATATGGAATTGACTATATTTCAAAAACTGCTCCACTTTCATAATTTTTTATGGCATTTTCGGATTCAGGGGACAATTTTACATAAGAATTGGATGTTAAATTTTGGGATACCATTATATTCCATGGTTCCATGGTACAAGTAGAAAAGCAGCCAATAATAACTATTAAATTAGTCATTTTTGACTAATTCATTTTTAGAGAGTAGGTGAAAAACGTGGATTTAACCGGTTTTGCTTTAAAGTCAACTTTTAAATGTTATTTTAACAAGTCACTATAGTAGTCGATATAAATAAAGCAAAAGATGCGAAATTTACAAAAAAAAGATGTATCGAAAAAAATGTATATAAGTGATTTAGCTCGAATATTCCTTAATTGTTATTGTTTTTTTTGTTTATTTTTCTATTTTTAGCTTAGGTAATATTGCGTAATATATTTGTTTATTAATTTATGTTTTTGGAAAATGGAGGATCGACAATACCGAATTTTTTCAAATTGTTTAAAACAAATTTGTGAATTTGTGTATACATAATTAAAACATTTTATTAATATTAATATTTTAGCATAAATTTACCACCGCATAAACCTTAAAATGGCTTAAAATAATGTGTCCCTAATTTTGTCCGCGATTTTTGAAATTCCTCCCACTGTGCGTCGTTTGATGTTACAAAATCGAGTCCAGAAATTTTTTAGTTTTTAAAGTTTGTTGTTATTTTGATTTAACAAAAAATAGTAAAACGCACTTGAGGCATAATGAAAGCCGGAAAAAGATTATACTAGTGTATATTTCAGATCATCTTAAAGTACACTGAGAAAAAAGTTTATTGCTCCCAAATAAAAAAAATATTTAAATATGGGACAAGGGTACAGTTTATTTATCCTAAATATATTTTTATTCCCGACACATAAAGTTTTACTAAAGTATATTTATCGTTATTATTTCGACTATTTAGAGGTAATAAACAATATATTC